AGGTTTAATGACTTTACTAATGGACTGTAATATAGAAATCAAATATTTGTGCCACTACTTACATCAAACGGAACATACTTCTGCAATCTATTTAGTCATCTGCCAGGTCTATTTACAAAGAATTTGCATGATTTCCTCTGACTAATAGGTCATACTAAAATGTAAGCAGTGTTTGTCAATTCCTAATTGTAGCAAGATGAGCCAACAATGTTTATGTCATGCCTGAGTGTGTAACATAAAAATGACATTCAGAGACTATATATTTCTTAATCAAACTAAAATGTAAGCAGTGTTTGTCAATTCCTAATTGTAGCAAGATGAGCCAACAATGTTTATGACATGCCTGAGTGTGTAACATAAAAATGACATTCAGAGACTATATATTTCTTAATCAAAAGTCTAGCCTTACAAAGTCACACACAGTATGATCTTCTACTCTAAGTGTACTCTCAGTGCAGGTAGAAATGTTTCTAATACATGTGAGTTGTTAGAGAAGAGGCTGCGATATGGTCACCAAGTGTTTACTATGGAAACAAAAGATTGCAAAGATTTGTCAGGCCAAATATACACAAAAGTTTACATGGAATGCTGAGGGTTTAGTAAATGCTGAAACATGACTCATCTTCTCCAGCCTGAAGCTCTTCAAGTTTCGATGCCGCCTTAAACAGTTTTAGATGTACACATAGTTTATGTCACTGACCACTGTTGGTCATTATCACTATTACATGTGCTTTTTCCCAAAACTTTGAGTATCAAGTTGTGCCCAGCCTTGAAAAAAAAAAAAAAGTTTAGAGTTCTTTCTTGCAAATTGTAAAATCATGTAGAAAAAAATAGTTTAGAAATACCACAGTTGATTGACAGTTGATTACTGAAGATGTTAGCACCTTGATGACAAACACAATTGTTCCTTGGATGTGCTGAAGGAAAATGAAAAAAAAAAGATGCTACGTTTTATTTACAAATCACAGTTTTCCTCACAGTGTTAACCTTTGAGTCTCTCTGATGTGGCAGTGCCTTATAGAATAATGGACCATTATTTATTTTTTCATTTGACCTATGTAGTCTACATGAACTAGTTTGTACAGCCCTGACATTAGAACCAGAGCCAGCAAAATTATTGCTAAAGTGGTAATATATTAGTTGGGTACAATTAATTGGTTAGCTAATGTGTATGTTAAAGTTTATTCTCTTTCAAACCAACATCTTCTAACAACATATTCCTTTATTTTTCCCACAAAACGTGCATTGAGAATTATGGCACTAGACAGGCATTTGCCAGATGGAATGCTTTGCTGATCTGAACACCATCTACATTCCCATCTTTTGGCCGACTAATGCGTGGTTTCCTATTTCAATATGTTCCCATACCTTAATTGAATAGAACACAATTATGCATTATAGGCTGATGTATTTCACAATGATATAACTTGATAAGTTGTTTCTGTAGTTCATGCTAACAGAGGACTATTAGGAATATTGTTTTTTTCCGTGAGCTAGTCAGTTAAGTTGATATACCTGTCTGATAATCTAAAACTATAATTGGTTGGCAAATGAGAAAAAATAATAATGAAAACATACAAGTTCCTTTTCTGTGTGTCTAAATAATAAAGTACCTTAAATAAAGTACCTGTTTTATTATGGTTTTAACTCAGAGGTTGTGTGTACACAACTTTCATGTAATACATGAACAATTCCTTGTCCAAGTTTATCAGTGAAGTGAATAAACCTGATTCTTGATTGTGTCGTAGCTTCTACAGGAAGCTTCTAGGTTATCTATATACCCAAGTTTAAAACTTGCACTTTGTTTAACTGAATAAAGGTTTTTCTTAACTGTGACTTGGAAAAATTAGTGTCAATGGAACATAAAAGATCTATTAACATAGCTACAAGTACTGAGCACTACTAGTTATGAAAGAGTAAATTAAAAATTTCTTTAGAAAGAAAATTGATAGTATCATAATAAGATATATGAGGAATATATACATATACACCTGTTTCACACAGAAAGCTTTCTGTAAAAAAATACAAAAGCAACCAGTGCTGTATATTATGAAAACTCACAAAGTGTGCTTTATACACAAACATGAAGCATAAATTAAAAAGTAGAACAACAGCAAAACTTTTTAAATATAGAAGAATTTGCACATATTTTTGTTAAATAAGAATAAATAATTTTATCACACAAGTTCACATACTAGTTGCAAAAACAATAAATTATTTTTTTTCAGTGCTGCAACTTCTCTTTTGTTTGTTTGTGATTCATCCCTTAATTCTTAGTTTAACAGGATAAAACTGTTTCCACAGGAAGGCAAAGGAAGTTGTTTGTTGAATAAATTATAATAATGCCCATATACTTCTAAACAATAAGGCAGGGCCTAATTTGACCTTTTTTTTCTAGTAGAAATAAATGCTATATTTTCTTCTGGGCTCCCTTTGTACAGAATGCAACTTATTCGGAGTGCTTAGTTATATAAGTTGAGATTAGATTCTCATGAACCTGAGCATTTTCAGACAAACTTGTTTTTTTTTTGTTGTTGTTGTTGTTGAGAAAGTAGCCTCTAACATCCTGAATCCCCAAGTTTTTAAAAAATTCAATATGCAACTATGGAAAAGTGAAAGACATAGTTCAAAGTCAAAGTAGACTGAATTAGATTGAGTTATAGAGGATTTTCCCTTTGCTTGTCGTTCTTAATGTCTACCAAACTCTTATTCTCTGAATTTCAGTTTACAGTTTATATCACTTTTCTCAGGAGTTTAGACATACATTCTTCAGTCAGTCTAGTGATACTCATAAGAAAAATGTAGAGAAAACTTCTTAAAGCATGGAATAGTGGTTTATTTGTTCTAAGCTCTTTAGGATTGTTTCAATGAGATGTGTAAAACTTCATTATTTGGGGGAAAATAAACCACTGATAAATTATATTAAAAACCTATGAATACAGAATAGAAAAGCAGAGTAGGAGACAACCATGTTTATTCTTCAATTATCTTTTAATGTTGTTGGGAATGTATGCACAAAAGATAAAAATAAATTTTGCCACATTTGAGTTACTTGATTAAAATTATTCTAAAAATTAGAAAAAGTAACATTGGCCTTTATATTAGTTCTCTTTGCACAGCCAACTGGTTGGTGTGATTTTTAATTTAATTTAATTTTACCTATTTGACTAGTTTTTTCCCCTTTTCTTGTTATCTAGTGATCTCCATCAAATATGTTATCAGTCTTGTATAGGCCTCATTTCTAGAACTGATAATTTATTAAGAAAAAATTACCATGTCTAAAGCAAACTCAGTATGAAAGCCAAAGGATGATTATAGGTTTTATAAAACAATTATTTGTTTGACAAAATAATTTCTTAAGAAAATACTCAAAACAGCGACACATCCATTTTCCTGGCCCACTGAAATGAATGTGATATAGTGAGATCAATTACATAATTCTTTTATATTAAAAATATCTCATAATAAAAATAGACTCTCATGAGCTTAATAGAACTCAAACAATGGTTCTCTAACATCCTTATATGCACATCTTTAAAAATAGGCACGTTTGGTATGATTATTATAAAGTTTTATAAAAAACAATTGGCTTTGTGGTGCTTCGCAAAGAAAAAAAATCCCAATGAAATGAAAACACCTTAGATTTTCTGAGCTATAAGTTGGGGTGGGGGGATGCAGTTTACATCTAAAAATAGATTTTTATGCCTGTGATTATAAAAAATTTTCAATGTCTAACTACTAAAACTGACAACCTACCTAGACAGGCTGTGGAAATAAAAGCAATAACTTCCTGAAAATCAACACATTCATCACTCACACTTACTGTACACACTTACTGGTACAGCCAAATGCTTTCCAATCAGGAAAAATCTTAGTACAGTAGGAATATGCCTGTATTAAAAAAACTTTAAGGAATTATTGCCTATGGTGTGGAAACAGTCTTATTAATATTAACCACTTTTTGCATTAACCACATTAATGATGATAACCACTTCTAGATGTGGCTTACTACCAAATGTCTTTGCTATTCCTATTTAAATAAACTAAGTCAACAAGAAAGACAAAACATTGTAGGGAACCTTAGAACAAAACAACAAACAAGCAAAAGCAAACACATTTTAAAGGCTTGTTGGTAAGAGGTATACCAGAGTTGAAAGTGTTGGATATGATAGAAGACTCTTTGCTGTGTGTTTTGTATGCATATTACACATTGTGAAATATCAGATGAGAGCCACAGAAAGAGAAAGCAGTTGTGAAAATATAAACTAAGAACACAGTGAAATATGTGCTTTTTTTCTTTTAAATTCCAAGACGAGGATTCTAATTTTTAGACTCAAGTACTGATCATGTACACACACGCAAACATTCTACATCTTAATTATGCATTAATTTGGCTGGCTGCCTGAAAAAAATACAGGCAGTCAAAGGTTTATGTAAATGGACCCGTGTATGATTTAAATGACTACATACACTGAGATCCTTTTTCTTTGCAGAATTTCTCAGAAGATGCTTGCTGTCAAAATGGTTTTTGACTAAAATTTTATCTCCTGTAGTCAGAAAATATACTAAATCTTATTAAAACAGCAGCAAGTTCTTAATTTCCAGTAAAACATCCGCAGCTCTTTCTGGAAACTGGGAGGAGTTGAAATAGCTGCAGACCTACTTTGGTCAAACACTTTTTTTTATAGAAATATATATATATATATATATATATATATATA